GATTTTGGCAATTTTTTCACTTGTCAGTGGAGCGCAACACTCATTTATTTTATGACTTGTCAAAAACCATTGTTTTGTTTTTTGTTCAATGAATTTTTCAAAAGTCTGGCATCTTTATTTTTTCAAAATGTAACCCTTTAGTGAATGGGTAGGGGTACAAGTACCCCTTACTAATACATGAAGGGGGGAGCAGTATCAAGGTGCCCCCTTATTTAAAGGGTTACACTGATGCTAATGAGCCCCTCTGACCAAAGACCCCCACAACCACTGGGCCAGGGTTGTAGGGAAGAGGCCCTCGTCCCCACCACCAACAAAGAGACACCGTGGCCTGGTAAGCCACGGTTGGGTGCTTGATTGCCCCCCCTTCCATTTCTTGGCCTGCCAGGCCTGTGCTCGGATCAAGATTCTGGTAAGAATTTTGGGGGGACCCCATGCTTTTTTCCCATTTTTGGGAGGTGTGTGTTCCCCTAAAAGTCCTACAAGGCCTAAAGGGCCTCATTTGGCTTTTATGGGGAACCCCACGCACTTTAAAGAAAAACAAAGTACTGTGGGGACCCTCCTTACCTTCCTACCAGACCTAAATAGTCTGGTATAGATTGGGGGGGGGTCACACTTTTTTTTTTTTTTTTTATAAAAATGTCATTTTTTAAAACAAATGTCAGTCCTGCTGCAGCAGTTTCTATACATTGTACAGATGTACAACTTTTCAGGTAGTTTAAGGGGACCCCCCCCAGGCATGATATTTAAAGAATTTTTAAAATTTTTATTTTACTATAAGCAAAGAAAAATGACTGCCCCGTTAAAAAATGGTATTTTTTTTAAAATGTTTTTATGGATTCATGTCCCTCAGGGCAGTACACTAGTCCCCATACCCCTTTATGGCCAATAACTTGTATATAAGCCTTCGAAATGGGCACTTTTGAATTTATAAGTTCGAGTCCCATTCATTGAGTTTGCGGTCGAACATTCATTAGGTTAGAATGTTTGACTGCGAACTGAACACGGGAGTGTTTTGCTCATCACTAATGTTCTGTAGTTCAGGCAAGGCATCGAGACAGTAGTAGACTATACCACCTAGTGTCCAGAGAGTTGCTATCCTCTCTCAGGGTGGACAAGGTCACTGATGTTTTGCTGGGAATCTTTATGATAGTCAAATTCCCTGCAGAGTTGCTCAGTGATAAAGGCCCACAGTTTGTGTATAACTTGATGCAGATTCTGTCAGAAAATAAAGTGAATACATTTTATGATTAATACTTACCACCCATGAACGAATGTCCTGTGTGAGAATTTCAATGGATCTTTGAAACAAATGTTGAGGACATTTGTGGAGTTGCAGGAAAAGGGCTGAGAACGATATTTGCCTCACTTGCTTATTGCCTACAGAGAGGTGACCCAAAATACCACAGACTTTTCCCCATTTGAACACCTAAAAGGAAGGCCAGTGGGAGAACTCTTAGACCTAATCTGAGAGCTCAAGGAGGTTCTCTGAGGTCTCTGTGATGGATTATATCCTAATGTTCTTGGAGTAAAGGGAGACACTTGATGTGATGGTACCAGAGAGCATGATAAGCTCAGGCCAAACAAAATCACTAAAGCAACAGCAATCCCAGAGCACAGATGTAAAATATGAATCAAAAGGTATATATTCTACTCCATTTATAAAGAGAAAAATGTACAGGAAGTATAGAAGGGGTCATATGCACAGAATGCCTAAATGACTTGTTGTGAGATTGGGAGAAGAAAGTAAAAGAAAAAGAACATTCTATGTATACATGCTCATACATGGTTTTTAGGCTTTTTGGGTTATTTTAGATAGAGGCTGAGTAGCATCCTGGGATGAGTCAGCCTGGGAGTGAGGCGAGAGTTCACCTCAGGACAGGCTGGGATTCTACAGGTCAGGGCTTCTGGTGTCCTCCCAACCCTCCAGAAACTGGCAGAACTTTCTGAAAGAGGGGTGGAGAGGGGGAGGAGGCCAGATCTGCATGTTTGAGGGACCTTGGCAAATCCCCTGGCAGGAGACTGGGCATGGTGGCCATGACAACCCTCAAATGTGGCGGAGCCTGGGGAGAGGTGTGCAGTGTCGGGTGGAAAATGGATTGAGAGAAAGGCTGGAGTGAGGAGCCTGAAGAGGGACCCCAGGATGGGGAACCTAGCTACAGGCAGGATTCTGGAGGGGAGGATCTCTACTGTCCCACCGTCTCCTGTGGATTAAAATCTGTGCAGCAGGGAAAGAGCCAGCTCAGCGTAAGGCCTGAAGGCAATCAACAACTCACCAAGCTGAAAGGACAGGGCAGTGCGAGTACTCCTACACCCCCTGGGCCAGATAAGGGGAGATGGCAGTCAGGTGCAAGACCCAACTATTTCTCACCTGGACTACTTCATTGTTAGCTCTTGGGACCTCTTGCCCAGGGATATCCTCAGTGCAGCTGGGAGAAGAGGAGGATTCATCCAGGGTCTAATGAGGTACACCAAAGTGACTTCAGTGCTCCTTAAATTCCTGAAGCCATGAGTCACTCATAGGCTCATATGTCCCAGACATTGTCAGCACTCCCTCCTCTCCCCTGCATCCACTGTTCACTGACATTCCTGTTCAAATCACATGCTATCTTCAAGGTGCAATTTGGGTCCTTTAACGCAAATCCCACCTGTAACGGAACCGGAACCCGACCACTCTTGGGTATATTCCGTTATACCGCAGCTTCCCCTGTCCGAACACCATCCACGGACCACACCCTTGAAATCCCTCAGGAAATAGACAGCACCCAGCTCTTCTTAAAACAGGAAGCCAACTCTTTATTTTAACACAAACCAGAGGATATATACAGAGGTCGGGGAAACACAACCAGGAACAGGAAACACATCATCAGCCCACCCCATCAGTGGGAAGGGCTGCAGGGAATACATCATCAGCCAGCCCCGTCAGTGGGAAGAGCTACAGTGAACCACCCCAACCAACCCAAGACACAGAACAATGGGATGAAGCACATGGCAAACAAACAATGGACAGCCATGTGGCCCAGAACAAAGGAATAGCCACATGGCAGTAGACAATGGGCAACCACATGGCCGAGAACAAAGGAACACACACTATACACAAGACTGGGACATTCATACCCTGTACCCCTTAACAGGCACAGGGTCACTTAAACATAATGGGGAGAACATGAGCTGACACAGAGATCCCCCCACCCCCAAAAGTCACTCCCGTCACACCACCACAAAGTATTGGTTAAGATATCAGGAGTATTTTCACGAGTACTCATGAAAATACTTGGTATCGACGCATCCCTAATTGGTGATAGTTTTAGCACGGAGTATAATAAACCATACTGTTCAGGTATACATACAGATATTAGAGCCAATACATTTTGCAAGCAGAGGAAGATTCAAGGTCTTACTCCATGCCTAAACAACTGCTAGATCATCAGAAGAATCAATATACCCTTTTATTACTAACACAACAGCCACATCTGCCCACAGGACATACACTTTGGAACCATTCTCCTTTTTCTAGTCAGGTCATTATAGTTCAAGGGACTCATTTTTGGTCTTTTAATTTATGATCCTATTGAATACATGACTTCTAGTGTGATATTACAGCTTTCCACTGAAACCCTGCAGCACATTACAGTGTTAGGACTCCTACCCTTGGTCAGCCACCACAAAAACAACTTTGCATTGTTGCCAACTGTGCAGCCTACATTACACAATAGCAATTTCAAAACTGTTTGGTAAGAGGACATGATAGTTGAAAAACCGAGACATACTCTTTTAGCTAGAAATGTATACTCTTTTAGCTAGAAATGTAAACATTAATCACTTGCCCTTTCCTGACCAGGCCATTTTTTGCGATACGGCGCTGCTTTACTTTGACAATTTTGTGGTCGTGAAATTTATGTCCTTTTTTTCCCCACAAATAGAGCTTTCTTTCAGTGGTATTTGATCACCTCTGCATTTTTTATTGTCTGTGCTATAAACAAAAAAACTGACAATTTTGAACAAAACCCCAATATTTTAAATTGACTGCCACTGACATCCCCAGTGACACTAATACAGTGATCAGTGCTAATAAAAAGCACTGACACTGTACTAATGACACTGGGCAGGAAGGTGTTAAATCTGGGACGATCAAAGGGTTAACTGTGTGCTATGTGTGTTTCACATTATGTGCTGTGTGCTGTGTTACAATGTAAGCATGCTGCTTCGTATTGCTCTGCTGTGCTATTGTTTACAGACCTCTCCCCTGTCAGTGTTCCTCTGCGATCACCGGGTGCCAGTGGGGAATCTCTGGCCGGGACCTGGTGATTGACAGCTGAAGCTGCCAATGGTGCGTCACCCTACCCTGAAATACAAAATCATGCATATATATGTGATTATGCGCAGCCCTGCCGCCCTGTAGCAGTAGTTCTTCTATAGGGTGGTCGGGAAGCCATTAAAGAATAACTGCATATTTAAAAAACATTTAACGGTTAAGTATGTAGTATACTTGATACAAGATCGAAGAAAGGGTCTGTGTCATGTCTTACATTGTTCATTTTAAGCATGTGCATCATTAATTGCACCCTTCAGTATCTCAAGTGAATGCTAATGTCAGGTAGAATCTGAATCACTGACTCGTTATTAGGGCTCAGGATGCTGCAGGCTGTCCTGGTGCAAATTGACTTTTATGCTGCATTACACAGATGTTATACCCTTATGCTCTACATACTTTGTATGCTGAAAAAGCTAAAATATTTAAACAAAAAAAAATCAATATAAAGATTTTACCTAAAGGTATTGAAAGTTTTCCTTTTGTTTTAAGCCTTATAAATACATTAGAACATATCAAAGTTTAAATATCTGTTTATTTACATTGCTCAAGCCAATGAAAAGAAAAATACTAATGTGCTCACATTTATAAGCAATGTACAGCTATGTACATCAGCGTTTATATATATATATATATATATATATATATATATATATATATGGTATTTCTAGAATTTAAATGATCTTTCTAATTAAAATTCAGCCCACACATGTAGATCAATTAGCTTTATCAAGCCTTGCGTTATTTCCTGGTTCCGTAGACTGTATATTATTGGGTTAATAAATGGCGTTAACACAGTGTATATAAGAGATTTGAACTTGTTTTCATTGTGGGAATTGTCCCCTGATGGCACTGCATATATAGCAGTCAAAGTCCCATAATACAAACAAACAATAAGCAAGTGTGAGCTGCAGGTTGAGAAGGCTTTTTTCCTTACGACGGAAGACATTTTTAGGATGCTAATAAAAATACATGTGTATGAGCCAATGACCAACAAAAAAGGGAAAAATATGGTAAGGAAACATATCACAAAATCAATCCAGATAACGATGAAAGTATCTGAAGATGAAATCTGAAGAATTGGAGCAATGTCACAAAAGAAATGATCAATATAATTTGATTTACAAAACTGTAATTGATACAGAAAGATAATTTCACTTGAAATAAGGATGTAGGAGAACATCCAGCAAAAGCAGACAAGGTAGTAACAGGTTTTAGTGGTTATGAGAGTAGAATAATGTAAGGGGTCACAGATGGCAACATATCGATCATATGCCATAACTGTCAGTAGGAAAGACTGTATGAATGCCAGGAAGCTGTGTACATAGTACTGAAAAATACACCCAGTTATAGATAAGAGGCCTTGGCCCCACAATATGACATGTAGCAATGCTGGCACAATATTCGAACTGAATAAGACATCAACTATGGAAAGATGTTTTAGAAAAAAGTACATGGGATGTCTGAGGTTGGTAATTGATATCAATGTAATGATTAAAATATTTCCAACCAAGATAACTAGAAATATTAAAAGTAGAACACAGAAGAAGACTATATTATAGTTGTTGAGGTTTTGGAATCCATGGAGAACAACTTCACTGACTCTAGTGGTATTATCCTCACACATGGTTCTTGGACATAATTGACTTTTGTAATCTGTGTGGATACAGAAGATTGTTGTCAAATATTATAGAACATAGGAAGATTAAACTAAAACAGAACATTTGAATAGAATATAAACTTCATGAACCATTATGTGCTTCTTGCTGAGGCTGTTCTTTGTCACTAGCAGAGACAGAGCTTCTACCCTGAAAGGGCTGTCAGTCTATTACATAAATGCAAACCCTGACTGCATTACATTTAGTTTAGTAAAGCATCGTGTATCATTAACCAGTGTCATTTTTCAAAATAAAATACTTATTTTGTTTTTTAGCTACTGCCCATCTATATCCATTCCAGCAACGGCGGAGTGGCATTTCTTATGAAAATACCAGAGACTTTCCTGGTGGGGACAACAATAGACCATGCCTGTGTATGTGACCATAATATGACCATGCCACTTATAGTCTTTGTCGACACCTGCTTAAAAGGGTGACAACATGAGAGCATGATTTAAAGACAGTAACAGAATGTAGTCACCCTATAACAGGAAGAACCTGAACAAGGATCTTCAGGGGAGGATCACAGGTGTGAAAGTAGTTCTACAGGCAGAAGGTTTTCTACCTTAAAGAGATGAGAATGTAGAGCATGCATTAAGTGATAGTAAAGTTATGCTACGCTGTTGTTACTTTTCAACCTCCTATGGGATGCCTGCTCTGTTCCCTTGCTGAGGCCTCTTAGAATTTTCTGGGAATCCTCATACCACACACTGAGATTTGAAATCTTAGTTCCACCAATAATCTACAACAGTAATATACTTTCCTGTCACCCTACTCCTGAGGAAGCAATCATGCGAAACATGTGAGGCTGTATTCTCCAAGTGACCAGTAGTAGAATACTATCTATTTGCAATCTACAGAGCTTTATGCATTAATGTTATGGTGTTTACACACTGGCCCTTGGTCTATATTTGTGTAATGAATATTTTAATTTAGAATTAACACTACCTGCTTTTAACTCAAAGTTAAACAACAAAGTTTTTATGCCATTTGCGTCTATATGCACCAATAAAGAAAACAAATTTAATTATATATTACTTCTATTCTGTGTGTGCAAATTACTGAGGGATCACACCTTAAATAATGGGCAGCACAGTGGCTAAATGGTTAGCACTTCCACCTGGCAGGACTAGGGTCAGTGTTTCGAATCACAGGCCACAGCACCTCCTGCCTTGAGCTTGCGTGGGTTTCCTCTGGGTGCTTCGGTTTCCTCCCACACTCCAAAGACATGCTGGTAGGTTAATTGGATCATGTCTAAATGGGCCCTAGTATGTATATGTATGAATCTAAGTTAGAGACCTTAGATTGTACACCCCTTGAGGGTTAGGGACTGGTGTGAATGTAAAATGTATATGTAAAACGCTGCGTAAATTGACGGTGCTATATAACTATCTGAAATAAATAATAAACATTCTTTTTTTGGCATTTGCCTTTTCTTACATTTTGGATGTTCTGTGGCTCACTGATCTTCCGCAGGATCCTTGTTATTTACCTGATCCCTTTAATGTAAAACTGTCCCACCACTGGCCAATTTCTTATTAAGACTTTGGAGAACAAAGATGATTCAGCAGTGTAATAATGTGTCAGCAGCAGGACAGTTTTAATAAGGAAGCGTGTACCAGAGTAGTTTAGACAGGTACTACTAAAATTAAAAGACCAGAGATGGCAATAGGCTAGCCCCAAATTTACTCAATTTAAAGAGCAGAGCTTTTACTATAAGAATCAATATACTACAGAGGATACAGCAATATAAAATTATCCAGCAGCAAGACAGTTTTAATCAGGGATAATAGACCTAACTGAGATAACAATCTTTTATTTTATCTATGGAAATATATGTGGTTAATGGAAGTGATATTATGTGAGGCTGTTAGTTGCATATTGTTCTTGCACTTATCTTTTTCCTTTCAAGCAATGCAGCAATGTGCTGTGAACAAAAGGCAACTCCAAAATAGATGGTTTAGCAACAAGTGAATGCTTTTTACAAAAAAAGCTACATCAACATAAAATACAAAAGAAAAAGAAAAAAATAACTGCAAATGAAAATATCAAAAGACTACCCCTGAAACAAATGCACACTTTATTGGAAGGGAAGCTTTGAAGCAATAAAATAAAAAAAGTTTGCTATGCAGAGGATGGCAGAAAAAAGTAAGTAATTGTTGGCCTTAAATCAGCCACAAAATAAAATGAAAGGCAACCCCCCCCAATAAGAGGAATACAAAAAGTAGAACACAGGTTGAAAGCTCAATGAGCTTGCAATCAAAATTCAAGTCAGCTTTCCCTTTAGTTTTCAAATGCAGCCTTTAATATAGAAACACTATAACTGCTCTGTGCTTCCTCCCCTCCCATATTATAGTGAGGGGGCTGGCTTATCCAAAATCCCCCATACCATCCCTTCTTAGACAGTCCATACATTATTCCTCTATGTGGATGGGGGCATCCTTCCCACTGAGTTATTGTATTCTGACGGGGGGTGGGGGGGGGTCGGGTAAGACTTCCTTTGTCTGAATACACTGATCAGTTCTGTCTGCTATAGCCAGTGGCACTGAACAATTGGAAAAACCCAACAGGGTGGTAGAGCAACATATGTACAACAGAAGTGGCCATACATAGATCAAAATTTGGTCGGATCGGGTCCTGCTGAACCAGACAAATTTCAGTCCAAGTATGGCCAACATTAGCCTGATATCATTATTTTAACCCTCTCACTGCCAGTGTAAGGCTTATGTTACTGGCTGCACAGCAGTTTATTTACATTTGTTCAACAGGCAGTCGACTTCCTAATGCAAGCTGGGTGTAGTAAGCGGCCACCCCGTTATGAATCCCAGGTCTCGCTGCCCCTCCTGGAGGCAAGGATGTTCATGGGGTTGTTTTCAAGGATAGCAAAGAATGATTAGAGAGCATCCATTTACTGATCAGCCCTGTAGTGAATTAAGCAATAAATGCTGAGCATTGCATAATTTGTGGTTTCAACGCTCTCATTTGTATGGCCTGGAAGGAAGATAATCAAACATGATCTGTGTTTGATTAGCTTCATTGGAGTGCAGGGGTGTCACAATGAGTCTAATGAACAGCTGATGTTTCTTTAGAGAGCACCTGTCATCTTCACTATGCTATCACATTAGGGGCCCCTTGTGATAGTAAGTTATAAAATAAAAATAATAAAGTTAAATAAAATAAAATTATTAAAAAACCCTTGTTCCCACATACTCGAACATACAAACTTAAGCTCCCCTGTTGAGTGCTCCACAAATATTAGGTATTGCTGCACATGCCAGAATGAACTCTAAAATGATGAAGGCTTTTAAAGCATTGCCTATGGACAATTTTGGGTACTGTAGGATGTTGTCATTTCACAGGTGTGCACAATATAGAAACCTTGATTTGTCAGTGAGCTTACACTTTGTATACACCTACCTTAAAGAAGAATTTAGAAAAAGACAGAAAGGAGAAAAAGTCTGGGACTGCTTAGAAACTAGTAACTGACAACATATTCGTTGATCAGGAATGTGGAATTATGATATAGTAAATTGAGTGCAGGGGTCAGGAATATATCATGTACGTAGATAATGGTCAGAAGCAACAGAGTGCAGGGTTCAGGAGTGTAGGGGTCGGGAGTACCAGGGGCGGACTGACCATTTGGAAACTCGGGCACTGCCCGAGGGCCCAGGGTTATTGCCCGGGGGCCCCATGAGTTGCCAGTCCGCCCCTGTAATGTACTGAGCACAGGGCTAAGTGAAGCACAGGGCACAGAAAGACACAGATAGTAATAATAGGCTAACATACACTCCAATCTTTTACCTTGTTACTGAAAAATGTGTTTTGAGTCACTCTCCCTCAGCCCACAGGAGAGATTCTCCAAAGACTGTAATAGAAACCTGACCATGGTTATATGCCTTCCCCACTTTGTCCAAAACTAAAAAATGTTTTATCATGAGTCGAGATAATTATAGCAATAACGTTTTACCTTTGAGAAATGCACAAAAATGTGTCTTGTAATGTTTAAGTACAACATTTTGTAAGAAAACTGTAACCTTTATTAACTTGATCTAAGGCTGGATTCTTACACTATCAAACTTTCTTAAAGAAGTGGTGAGAAGGCTATATGTTCCTGCTCATCCCAAAAAATCATCAGTTGTGGCTTTTGTGGCTTACATTATGTATATACAATATACTGTATATATATGTACACTGTATATAGTGTATGTATATATATATATATATATATATATATATATATATATATATATATATATAATGTTTGACTTGTCTATTTTTTATGATATTTTAAAAAATTTCCAGAAATTTTTTTTTTTTTAAATTTCACTTACCATTTATTATAAGCAGGTTACCAAGCTGAGATGATGAGTTGAACAGAATAAAATTATATTTTCTGTATCTAAATAAATGTTTTACATAAGCTATAAAGCTAGCAGATGTAATACATGTATAAATATACATATGTAATAATAATTAACTTACTGATGGTACAGAATGATGAGTGATCTCCTGACAGTTATTTGGTGCGTCTATTGAGCATTGGTTTTATACCCTGATACAGTATTAACTGTGAGGAACTCTCATGAGTATACACATCTGGGAAAAACATAATAACACTACAGGGCTAATGGAAGGAAACACAGAATGTAATTAGGCTGATAATTAAAAGTTTAATTTAACCTTAAACAGATCTTGCAAACAAAAGGAAAAAAACACACAATAACAACATATGAAGGTTGTAATATATTTTTAGAATCACCAAACTATTGTTTACATACAATATACATATCATTTTTAACTTTTTTTTTTATTTGGGCTTGTTTCAGGTCACAGCTCTGCATTTTTTAAACACACTTAGAAGAGTTAATAAAGAATTACCAATTATATTCTCTTTAGAATTCAGATGTGCCTCCACGAGAAAAGTGTTGGTGTAGGCAAGAGATTCACATGAATGTGTCTTTTTTGGGCA